AACCTTATCAATTGAAATCACAAATACTTCAAGTGTACAATCTGCATAAATATTGTTATTATAGGCATATCTATACAATTTACTTGCAAAGGCTGCCCAACTCATTTCTATATGCAGCTCAATCGATATTCACATTGCAAAGAAAATCTTGAAGACCGTTCGGCATTCAGTTCACTTGACAAATCCCACACAGATGAGTGCAACCTCAAAGTTAAGACCTCTCAGAGACCGTAGAAAATTTTCTAGTTATTGGTAAGACCAGCAAAAGGTCAAGTTTGCAACTCATCTGAACAAATATTGTTGTACAGCTCAGCGCAGTGAGATGGCGGCTTATTTGTGACCCATATTCAATAATGGACGTGGCGTCGATTGCAATCGAACGCCTCAATTGAAGTGACAGCCCGTGAGATGAGTGGACAAATAATCAGCATTGAATATCTGTGAATACAAAAGTAAATACCAGTGCACGTACTATATAAATAATATATATGTATATATATATACCTATATATCTCTGGGTTTTTGCACAGATTGAAGACATAATAGGCAAAAATAATGATTTAAAGTTATGCAAAAGGCTGAGCAGACAAATGCGTTAGGCTAGACAAAAGACTGAATCACTTTATTTGATGAGAGCCGAGAGTTTGGGTTTGAGGCGCATGGGCGTGTCCACTGTAGTTGAGGGCTGCGTCAGCGACTGTCAATGAAACTAGAGTTTAGTGTTATGAAATTTGAATTTCGGTCCGTGCCAGATAAATGCAAAATGTGCGAGGCGAGGCAGCGCAATGAAAGCGCAATTGTTGACGGTTCTCCTCGCTTGGCCAACACGAGCTGGCTCGACTGTCCGCCAGCAACAGCAGCAACAAAAACAAAAACAAAAACAAAATAAAACTAAAGCAAATAAATCTTGGCCAACTGAAGCTGTGGCTGCACAAAAGACGAACTGCAGATACTTTATAGAGTTGCCAAGATTCAGTCTCATCCACAGCCTCAGCTACAGATTGAGCTACACATGCGAGACACGCAACGTCGCGTACTGCGTGCACTAAATTTATTGAATTGGAAAGTAAAATTGCAGTTCATTATTCGCATATATCTATTTCAATTTATTTCGACAAATATATATTTGCGTCTTCGCGTCTTTAATGCTTACACAGCACGCAATTTGTCTAACCATAATTATGGGCATTTTTTTATTTTTCAAAGGTTATTTTTTATGATATATAATCATTATCATTATTGTTATTATTATT